TCACCAGCAAAGTGACTGGTTGTAGAACATACCTACCTTCCGTATGGGCTTCCCTATACATCTGTATGAGACGTGAGCTTTGCCACTGGATTTCAAGGATTTGTTATTTTCAATGAAAACTCTTCCAAGTAATGTGTTTAAAGCTCTGTAGGTTTTTTATAGTGTGCAAACCAAAGGAATAGCCTCTGCAAAGAGTGTGGCTCAGTCTTGCTTTGTAAGTGAGCAGTCTTTTATTGATGTACAGTAGCACAAAGTTCTTCAACCCAGCCTTTCTTGCAGTTTTATTTTTAGTTTTATGTGAAGAAAAATCACACAAGCTGATATACAGAACTGTGATAGATTTTCTTCTTTGCCTTAGTCACGCTCTCCTAATATCTTTGCTAATTAAAAGAAAAGTTGTGCTTGAGACAGAGGCTGTTAAAGAAGAGCTGTGGAACTGTTCCACTTATGAGAAACTCTGCTTTCCCAGAAAGGGAGACTTCTTGAATGGGGAGGCTGCTCTACAGTAAATTACAGCAGGTGTGCCTTTTCTTCTCTGCAGTCTGGCCTGTTCCTGAGGGTTCCCTATGAACTCACTTCCTGTTCAGCTGTGAGCGCATATTGTGTCACAGGTTTTTCTGTCTGCCCTGTGGATCTGACAGGAGTGAGTTCTGGGATTGTAAAGCCTGTCGAGGAAGGGTAGGAGCGTGTTGGGACTAGAGGTACGTGAAGAAGTTGGGGAGCGCAGGGGATGGGGAGACAAGGCTGCTTTGTCGGCGGTGTGTTGTTTGTTGCTGATATGTCTGCCAGATAGCCCCATCACTTCACTACCACCTCATCTCTTCCTCATCCTGCACTCTGCAAGAGGCTAGATGGGCTTTTTTGCTCATTGATACAACTCAAAGTAAATAAATTTTAGAACACTTCAATCTGAGACTGTGGGAATGAAAAAAAGGTAGAAAATAAGAGAATAAAGCAACCGCAAAGTGGAAGAACAACAGCAAAAAGAAATCCATTTGCGTGCCAAGGAATTGCTCACATAATCTTTTATTGGCTTGATAAAAACTGGGAGATAATAGGAGTGTAAAAGCAGTAAGCCTGTTTGAGAACCGAGTCTCATGCTTCCTGTAGAAATAATAGTTACTTCTCTCTGATCTGTGGGTGACAGTGGGGGTTATTCTTGAAGCTAGTTGTTTTATTTCAGTACTATAATAAAAAGATCCTTTCTAGAAGAAAGACAAGACGTGATTTCATTAACCGTGAATTTTGTTCATCCTAACATCCTGTGGGCACCTGTCACATAACTCAAAACTCTTTATTCTAGTTACCTCTGCAGAATAGGCAGAAGCATTACTGAAGCTGTCACAAAGTGCTCATAGCTTTGTTTCTCTGCCACTTAAAAACATAATGCAATACCATTTTCCTTGCTTCCAGTGTTTCTAGTCCTTTTATTGCACCAATGCTGGTGTTCCTTTGGTGCCTTGGTGAGCTGATTTGGCTCATTAAACCGGCAGATTGTTTTGTTTTTCTGTGTTCTGATTGTTTTCTTTTGCTGTGATTTCTTCACTCTCATGAGCTGTATTGGCTCATTGCAAGCTCAGATAAGTGCTAGAGCAGACTCAAGGGGAGGATTGAGGGGAGAGTGAACAGGACCACCTCTTTAGCAGCAGTGATCTGTTAGATTGGCTTAGTTGCACATGAAAATTTCTACTCCTGTGCTTATCTCCATGATTGTGTCAATCAGGGAACTTGTGGGGTGGGAAAGTGGGTAGTAAGAGACTTGTTGAGGGATCATTTTCTAGCTCCTTCAGTGCCATCTTTGGTGAATTGAGGCTATAGGGATGATAATAGTGAAGAAGTGAAGGTGTGAGGCAAGAGGTAGACTCTATCTGATAAGTTTAAAAGAAAAATCAAAACCTCTACCATGTTAAAAGTGCAGTTCATTATTCTGTTTTCTTTGCTCAATGTGTGACCAGACCATTAATTTGTAATAAGTCATGGAAATCTTTTTTTTATGAGTAAACTGTTTTTAATGCTGTTTCTCACTGTATCACTAATTTCGAAGATGCGTTTTTTTCAGCTTCTCTGTGCAGCAGAGGTATGATACTGACTTTCAAGACAGGAAACAGAGGCATATAGAAGGAGGAGCAAGAGTATTTGTGATTCTCTTGCTCAGTGCTTAGATATGTAGAACCTCATGTTTGGGATAACTTAAAAAGAGCTTAAGTTCATATTTTATACCTTTATTGTAAGTTCATATTACAATCTGAATGCAGAGTCTCTAAATGAGGAAAACATATGATACCTATTTAGTTTAAGTGACTTGCCTTACATCAGACTGAAGAGTGGGGCACAGTTTCCCAGGGCAGCCTTCTATTACAAGCTGTGAGAGCATCCTCTCCCTTCCTGCTGTCCATGGGTCTTTCACAGAGTGCACTGCAACTTCTGAAAAACTAAGTAGGATCCTGTAGAGCAGCAAATGTTAAATGACCTGTAGTCAAACCTCTCTTGAGAAAGCGGGTGATGAGCTGAACCTCCCAAGCTACAGCTCCAACTGGACCTTTAGGGTTTTTTAAAAGTATCTCAAAACATCGGTGATGGGTTACATATGACTTATTACCAGATAGAATTTACAATTTTAGTAGAAAACATGTCTGTTTGAATATGTAGAAATAGGATCCCTGAAATAAGATGTCTGTACAAGGTCAGAGCAGGAGTGTGTATCTCCTGCTTTCTGATCTCTGACAGTGGCCAGTGGGGACAGGATCCTCTCCCTTTTCCTCCTGTCTGACACTACTAATATACGTAGGTTTTGCAGGATGGAAGCTTTCTTACCCAGGAACGTGTCTGAATGTCGATGTAAACTGAATGACTTTTTGAATATTAGTGTCTTTGTTGATTCCTAACCTTCTTAGGGGCCAAACATACTTCTCTCTCCTACCAAATCTCTTGGGTGGACAGGTACTGCACTACCACCTGCTAAAAAGGAGGCTGGTGCCACAGCCAGACCCTGTACACCTGTGTTCTTGGAACTGCTTCTTACTGGCCATTTCCACTACTGCTGTCTCTGGACACAGAAGACCAAGAAGCCTTTTCTGCAAATGTATGACATCTTTCACAACATTATGGATGCAACTACTGCTTCCCTTTGGTAATGTGGCTCTAGAATGATGTTGATACAAAGAATTGCTACAGAGATGCAAAGGACTGAATAGCTCACCACCAGTCACCTGCCATTCAGCTTTGCCCTGGTGTAGGAGCAGACTTTGAGGAGTGAGGGGGTGAATCCCAGAGGACTGTGTCCTCACCTGCATTTTGTTTCCCTTTTTTCTTGACAGCTGGTCCTTCTCATTTTATGAGCTTAGAAGGCAGCTGCTTTCTCTTCGCCAGTTTGCAGAGGAATGCTCCCCTATTTGCTGCCAGACATGGTGGCCTTGTCTGTAGCTGCAGTTGCATGAGTTGGTATGAAATCAGTGCTCTTCTGACCATCGTGGCTTAGGAAGTTGTACTTGTTCATCTGGGAAAATAGCCTGTCTAAGGAAAAATTCCTTTTTCTTTTGTTTCTGCAAACTGAAGCAGTCAGTCCACCCAGGCACTGTTTTGGGGAGTGAGACCATGGTTGCTATGAGATGATGCTGCCAGTCTGAACCATCCCTGTAAAATCTGACATTGTATTGGGCTGGTAGCTTAGGGTTTGAAACTGGTAGTTTAGGCTTTTCTCCTGCTGTGTGTTCCCTGCCCCTACTCTAGATCTGCAGATTTGTGCAGCTCCAGGGTGAGTTGGTTATTTAGCTGTTATGGGAAGTGAGAGGAAGCAGGAACTGATCAATGGAAAACTGAGTGGCATGGTGAGTAGGTCTGTATCAGGGAAAAGAAGAATATGAATAATGCTTTCCACAGCAGCTTGGAGATGCATCAGATTAAGCACAGACAGCACCTGATGCCTCATTACTCATCCTTGCCCAGCCATTGTGATGATGAAAAGTGCTTTACTACCTCCTCTGGTGCACCTGTGAATGTACAGCATATTTAATTTTTAATTCTTCCTTTACATGGCCCTTCTATTTCATAACGTCATCTTAATCTTCTGCTAGGCTCCATTGTACGGTTTGGGGTGCATTGCTGCTAC